AAGAAAAGGCAGAACAGGAGCGAAGGAAGGTGGGGCCCAGAAATCTTTGGATCAGCTGGGTCCCAGAAGACGGATGCGCCGATGTCTGAGGGGGGTTCTTGGGGGGCATTTAATGAACTATAGTAACTATATTGACTAGCAGGTTCCCAATCTCAACAACCAACCATATGGCGATTACAAGTTAGGCGAAAAGCATCAGATTGAGCCGAGGGTTTTGTGTTACAACATGCGCTTCAGGAATTCTATCTGGCATGGCATGCTGGACAAGCCCTCAAGTCCTAGATAAATTCAGATGTCCATGGTTCAAAAGCAGAAGGACGAGTGCGTTCACTTGTCATGCAAGACAACTTGATCATATCCATCAACTCACTTCAACCTGCTCATGTGCCACTCTAGATGAGTCTTTCTCCATCAGAATCTTTCCAGTTCAGTTGATCGAGTTGGTTGGAAATGCGGTGGATGCCCCAAACATGGCTATTTGAAAAGGTGCTGTAATGGAGACGCCAGGTTTGGTAAACAAAATCGGTGATTTAAGAGTAGAAAAGCACACATCCCCACCTGCTGGTTTATGGCATCAGATTTACCATATTGTCACCCGTCAAAAAGATAGAAAAGTCAAATTTACTAAAGTAGTGATGCAGTGATGCTTTACTCTTCAATCTTTTTGGGAATGACTGACTCACCGAGTTTTACAGGCCAAAGTGAGTGAAGAGAGCGTCTCAAAGGCTGCGGTCCAGGTGGGAAAAACTGGGGAATCATTGGCTCATCAGGCTGGCCTCGGAAAGAGAGAACTTGGTAAAATCTGAATCAACACTCGTGATACATTGAACCTTTTCCATCTTTTTGAGGGTTGTTATAAGTATAGATAAAAGCAAGGATAGATAACAACTATAAGACCAGGGACGCAGTAAAAACCACGGTTTTCGGCCACATGTCCAGGATGCCACTTCAGATTTCTTGGTTGCATCCTTGGCAAATCAGTCAGATCACCCCATTCTTTGTTGCTCAAAAACTCACATCTTCGACAATGACTTTGATTCTCCGGTAAATCTGAAATCCCTTCAAAACAATCACCAACACGCATCACAAAATAAGAATGAGCCTAGTGAATCCTTATTTCAATCACCAAAAAGTCGCATTTTTTTCTCAAAGCTGGCACTGAGCCAGGCAGCAGCCAGTCCAGCGAAAGCTTCGAAAGCCTCCTGGACAACAGCTTCATCGTCCCGAAGGGGTTACACATTTGTGATGAAGACGAAGGGGTATCTAGAAAGAACATGAAATAACATCACCAAAAACAAGAAAAATACAGAATTTCGCTAGAAAAGCATAAGTTTTGCTTCTGCTGGATATCTGATGTTTCTTTATGTCATGCCTGTGCGATAATTATATTTGCGTGTGTATTATACAATTCCGGATCTATCATATTTGCCATGTTGGTTTGTCCTGGAGACAGAATATTCAACATTCCAGGGTTATGTCATAGCGATGTATAATTACCTGTTTCCCATCTACCTACTCTAGCAATCATCTCGTTCAAGAACTTCAGGGCTAGCATTTTCAGATTTTCAGTTGATGGTCTACATGGACATCTATGCCAGAATTCTCCATGTTTATATATTTTTGGGTGGTGAAATATTTTGGGAAGATGGGATATGGTTGGATTTCAATGGATTTGACCAACTTTCGAATGAATTTCCATGGCTCAAGCAGCTGCAGGCATCGAGTTCCACTTCGCGGTCGAACGAGACGTCGGCAGTTTCGCCGCAGGCTGTCTGGATGAAGATCGATTAGAGTCAAATGGTTCTAGACTCTCAATACGGACAACCCATTTTTTTCCCCACATCTTTGTGTGGGGTTCTTGTTTTTGATTCTGTATCCCGCCGCCTCCTCCTCCTCGTCCTCCTCCTCCTCCGCCGCCTCCTCTTCACACCCCATCTATCTTTCACACAGCAATTTGTCACACACCATCTTTCACACACAACTTTGTCACCCACCATCTTTCACACACAACTTTGTACACACAACTTTGTCACACCATCTTTGTCATCCACCATCTTTCACACACAACTTTGTCACCCACCATCTTAAACACACCATCTTAAACACAATACTTTGTCACACACCATCTGTCACACACCATCTTTCACACACCAAGTTTGTCACACACCAACTTTGTCACCCACCATCTTTTTCACACACCAACTTTGTCACCCACCATCTTTCACACACAACTTTGTCACCCACCATCTTTCACACACAACTTTGTCACACACCATCTTTCACACACAACATTGTCACCCACCATCTTTCACACAACTTTGTACACACAACTTTGTCACATCATCTTTGTCATCCACCATCTTTCACACACAACTTTGTCACCACAACTTGCGTGGCAGGCGTGGCACTTGGCGACATCCACCTTCGTTTCGCGTGGCAGGTCACACACATCCTTGTCAACCACCATCTTTCACACACCATCTTTCACACACATCCTTGTCAACCACCATCTTTCACACACCATCTTTCACACACCATCTTTCACACTTGGCGACCTCCACCTTCGTTTCACGTGGCAGGCGTGGCACTTGGTGACATCCACCTTTGTTTTGCGTGGCAGGTGTGGCACTTATGGCACTGGGCTGGCTCTGCTGGCGCGCTTGGACTGGATTAGTCGCCGGTGACGCCGCGGCACTTTGCGTGGCAGGCGTGGCACTTGGCGACATCCACCTTCGTTTCACGTGGCAGGCGTGGCACTTGGTGACATCCACGTTCGTTTTGCGTGGCAGGCGTGGCACTTAGGGCACTGGGCTGGCTCTGGTGGCGCGCGCTTGGGCTGGATTAGTCGCCGGTGACGCCGCGGCACTTTGCGTGGCAGGTGTGGCACTTGGCGACATCCACCTTCGTTTCACGTGGCAGGCGTGGCACTTGGTGACATCCACCTACCATCTTTGTCCAACACCATCTTTGACGCACGACTTTGTCACACACCATCTTTCACACACCACTTTGTCACACCATCTTTCACACAACACTTTGTCACACACCATCTTTCACACACAACTTTGTCACACACACCGTCTTTCACACCCAACTTTGTCACATACCATCTTTGACACACCATCTTTCACACCACTTTGTCACCCATCTTTCTTTGACACACCATCTTTCACACACAACTTTGTCACACACCATCTTTGACCCTCAACTTTGTCACACACCATCTTTTACACACCACTTTGTCACCCACCATCTTTGACACACCATCTTTCACACACCACTTTGTCACACACCATCTTTGACACACCATCTTTGACACCATCTTTCACACCACTTTGTCACACACCATCTTTCACACACCGTCACAGACCATCTTTCACACACCACTTTTTTCACCATCTTTCACCACACCATCTTTCACCACACCATCCTTCACGCACCACTTTGTCACACACCATCTTTCACCACACCATCTTTCAAACACAACTTTGTCGCACACCATCATCTTTCTACACACCATCTTTCACACACAACTTTGTCACACACCATCTTTCGCCACACCATCTTTCACACACCACTTTGTCACACACTATCTTTCACACACAACTTTGTCACACGCTCTCTTTCACACACAACTTTCACAGGCACCATCTTTCACACACAACTTTGTCACACACTATCTTTCTTTGGCACACACCATCTTTCACATACAACTTGGTCACACACAACTTTTTTTAGTTCTCGATCCTCCACCACCTCCTTTGTCTTTCCCTTCTTCCCCGTCCCCGTTACAACATATTGTGCTCATTATTGGAAGAAGTTGCCTTGTGGGGTTATCTGGTCCTTTAATTCCTGGTCCCCTCACTTTTTGAGCCATTCCAGGCCATAGCTAAGTGGATTGGGGCATGTGGCTGTGGTTGTCCAAAAGATTGCACCAAAGGGCCCAGAAATTTGGTCATCCGTAGTATTCTAACAGTGACCATATTTAACTGCACACGGCACACGTTTTTTTCTTGATGAGTAATCTTGACCCATGCGCAGCTGCTGCAAAGAGCCTATTTAAGTGAAGGATTTCTTCCATCTTTGGCGCAGGCCTCGGGTTCGAAGATTTCCTCTCGGCCGAAAGAGGTTTTGAAGGTTTCGGAGACGGTGGTCTCACCGCCTGCCGAGGCGGAAACTGTCGTGAGATTCGGGATAGTCCCCCAACGATCTAGGCTATATAAGCACCACCAGGATTTATGGTTTCTATTGGCTTAGTGGGTGGGGGTCAACGCAAGGGATACTAGCCAACTTGGGACAGTACATTGCTGAAACCTTTCTGGCCAACTCTAGACATTTGTGGGAACTGTAGGAACCATCACAGAGTATTGCAATACGGAACCATGTCACCATGTATCGCAACGAGAATTGTCTAGTAATTAGATCCAACATACTCTGTTTGCATATGATTTTCCCTTTCCATGAAAGAACAAGTAACAACCAAGCAGATTTCATGGACACGTTCCACCCTTTTTCGTGGAAAGATGCTGAATTCGCCCCGCTGCAGGCGGTACCTTCTCTGCGCATCCAGGGAAAGTCTGCGCCGGGCGAGGCAGGTGGCAAAGAGGGGCAAAAATTTCTGCTGACTTTAGATATACTTCTATGGGGGTTTCCATAGTCATGCGTTTTTTTTTTCCGTCTTTGACTTTAGTGTTGGTTGTTGGTTTATAGTGGAAAAACGCATAAAAACGCTATATATTCATTAATGGATGATTTGGGGGTACCCCTATTTCAGCCTCCATAGAACAGTAACAGGACATGATGGTGTAAATGCACTCCATTTTCAGCATGCACAGTTTGGCTGAACGCATAGTCACGATGGATCCGTGGCCACTGTAGGCACAAGAGTCCACTTCAGGTTAAAACGGTGTGTGCATTGCCATGTGATGTTTGCATTGCCTGCATAGAGCATCTACATTGGTGCCGCGGAGCAGTACTGGCGACGGCCAGGACCTTTGGGCATGAGTGCATGGAAACCTTCCTGCTCCAGGTATGAGGGCAGGCCTGCGGCAGCTTCTACGGGGGCAACGTCTCGATGGGACAGTGGCGACTCTGGATGGTCGTGGAGTGCCAAGGACCGGGACGAAGAACCTTGGGGGGCTGCAGGTGGTGAGTCAGGCGTGAGCCGAGATGGAGCTAGGGGGGATAGTGATCCATGGTGGGATCGGCCTGTGGCGGATCCATGGAGGTCCAGTGGAAGTGTGGTTGGTAGCGGTTCTAGAAGTGATGACAAGAAGTATGATGGATGGCTGGGGGATGCTCAGCTGAGACAGTTCAATGTGGCACAGATAGAGAATACCACTGCGATGCTTCATGGTAGGTGGCATGGAGGCGACCAAGGTGATCATGGAGGTGCACGTCATGACATGTGGCATGAGGTGAGTGAGGAAAAAGGGAAACCGACTGAGAAACTCACAGTTCCTGAGTTTGATGGCGAAGGAACGAATGACACCGACTTGGGCCGATCGGCTAGGTCGTACCTGAGGAAGATTCAGGTGTGGCTGCGCTGCACCAAATTGCCGCCGTACCAGAGAGGGTTGGCACTCTACAACTCTCTGTCTGGCAAGGCATGGGTCTACGCGGAAGAGCTCGACGTAGACCGCTTGGCCACAGAGGGGGGTGTCTCTTACTTTTTGCAGTGGATTCAGACCCGTTTCATGGAAATAGAGGTGTCAAAGGTTGCACAAATGATGGGCGACTTGTTCAAACGTGGCAAACGGAAACCAGAGCAAACCATCAGGGACTTCAATGTGGAGTTTGAGAGATTGGTCCTCAGATTAGCTGAGATAGAGTGCAATGTGCCGCCAATGATCAAGGCATGGCTCTACCTTGACAAATTGAGGTTATCAGAATCTGAGGAACTTGCGCTTCTCTCCAGTGTCAACAACGAGTACGACTGTCGGAAGCTTCAGCATGCAGCGCTCGTGCAAGATCGGGCCATTCGCCGTCCAGGCGGGTGGCATGGTGACGAGGGTCGTCATGGTGGCAAACGGTGGGGGCGTCAGAGCGTCCACATGACCAATGGGGATGGCAATGAGCTATCGAGTGATGGAGAAGAAGGTGCTCAGGGCTCTGACGAAGAGGAGCTCGTGGATGAAGACACTGCCGCTGAACACTACAGTGCCTACATGACTTACCAGGGAGCAAAGGCGAAGTACCGTGAGGTGCTGAAGGGGCGAGGCGTTGACCGCCAAGCCATGGAGCAGAGAAACCAGGAGAGATTGAAGCTCGCTAAGCAAAGGAGCTACTGCAGCGCTTGCAAGCGGAGGGGCCACTGGCACAAGGACCCTGAGTGTCCGCTGCGCCAGAAGTCGAACAATGGTGCTCCTACGAGCGGGTCGGGAGGCAGTCAGGTTCAGTCTGTGAACTTTGTGAACCAGTGCTTCATGACCACTTCTGGCGCGCATGGAGATCACGGGGGGCACTTGCTTGCATTGGGCAGTGACTACAACTCTGAGTATGTGGCGGGCGCATCCCACGGACTCCAAGGAGACCAATTGCTTGCACTGGACAGCGACTACAACTCTGAGTATGTAGCGGGCGCATCCCATGGAACTCAAGGAGAGCAATTGCTAGCATGTTGGAGTTGCTGCATGACCGACGGGGCACATGATGGTGTAGACCCGGTGGAGTGTCAACATGAGGGCCGAGGTGGACCACAGAGCAACAAGCTCTTGGCGATCATCGACACGGCCTGCACAAAGACTGTTGCAGGCTATCAATGGTTTGAGAAGTATGTCCAGGTGGCCGATGCAGCTGGGCTGGAAGTTCAGACCGTCGATGAGTCTGAGTATTTCAAGTTTGGAGCCTCCAAGGTGTACAGGTCAATGTTTGCCGTCAAGGCCTGGTTTGCCATCCTTGGGAGGCCATTTGCTGTGAGAGTTTCAATAGTGCCTTGCAAGGTACCACTTTTGTTCAGCAGACCCGTGCTGGCCAGCTTGGGCATGTGCTATGATGTTGCTAAGCAACAGGTTGGGCTGTCAAGACTCGAGCTCACCGAGCTGCCTTTGCTGACCAGTCCGACCGGACATCCAGCACTTTTGGTCTCTGACTTCGGGGAAGACCCACAATTTGGAACGATCCCAGACTTCTCACCCGAAGATGTGCACATCCTTGCGAGAGCGACATATATGTGTGCGAGCGTCAGTTGCAAGCCATTGTTTTTTCCAAAGAAACTTTCAAGGGAGATCCAACTCATGTTGGAATCAGAGCATGTTTTGAGTGGAGCAAGTTTTATTACATGGTGGAAGACAGCAAATCAATCAAGAGATTTTTGGGTTGAAACTGAGTTGGAGCTGATTCGCATACATGTTGTACCACGGAAACATCTTTTCAACCCTTCATCTTGGAAGACCACTTTGAGTTCTTTGAAGCAGCAGTTGATTTCACGATTGGATGGACATCGCATCACAGAACACATACCATGTCTTGGCGAAGGTGTGGTATCAACAAACTTTGAAGATGACACGTACCACAACATTGACATGCCTCATGGTTTGGTACATCCTTGGATTGGTCGCAGTCGTTTTCGCAAGATCAAGCCTGATCAACGCGACCAATCGTGCCTCTCCAATTCCGGAGAACCTGCCGATGCCTTCCAGCGCACCATCGCCATGGTCCATGAAGCGCAGCGAGTTGGTGGAAGAGCTGGATCGGCGCGGGATTGCCGTTCATCACAACTGGACGGTGCCAGAGTTGAGGTCGATCCTGTTGGAGCAAAAGGAGCTGGAGAAGCCGCCCAAGGGGGAGAACCCAGTGAAGGGGCTCACCAAGATGACCTTGGCGGAGCTCTCAGCCGAAGCAACTCGGTTGGAGATCAGCATGCCGCCAGTTCCGACAAGGGGCCTGCTGATGAGCCCAGAAGATGAGGTTAGGTTAAAAAGGTGCTTTTAGGTTATAGACTATTTTCTGCCTAATAGGTAAAACGAAACTAACTATTAGTCAGAACCCTTTAGGTTATCCAATCAAATAACCTAACCTATTTTTAAGGTTATTCATACAATTTACCTTTTTTTCTTAAGGTTATTCATACAAGTTACCTTTTGTTTTCAAAGGTTATTCATACAACTTACCTTTTTTTCCCAAGGTTATTTATATCATTTACCTTCTGTCTTCACTGGATACTCTCCAATATCTCTCACAAATATCACGCACGTATTTCTCAACTCTTTGGTCTGAATTTTTGGCCCTTCCACTTTCGTAGGTATCAAAACTGTACATCACTTTCCCTCCTTGGTTGACCTCTGTGATGTCACCACTGGCCAGCGCCTGGTTGAAGGCATCAGCATCGCCATGGAAGTAGTGATGGAGCATGATTGCACGTGGAAAACTGGCCTGGGCATCTTTGCCAAAGCTCTTGTCAGAGGTCTTCAGCCAGCTTCTGAAGCTGGGATTGTCTGCGCATTTCCCAGCAGCCTGTCTTGGAGTTCTTCTTGTAACAAGCAGTCCACCGACATGGTTTTTTCTTCCGTGGTTTCAGATTTTTCCCAGATCTCCTTGATCTGTGCTGGAACTTTTCCTGCTTTGAGCAGCCTGTTGAACTTCCACCAGCACCTCTGGAACGCTTTTCATTGTGACCATCAGGATCCACACATTCATCCTGTTCCCTCACTTCTTCTTCTTCTTTTTCTTCTTCTCCCTCAACCTTCTCAACCTCTTATTTCGCTTCTGGCACCCCAGACTGGAGCTTGGAGACTTGGTCTCTGGTACCACCTTTGGCAGCAGGCCTTTTGAAAGGTGCAGGGGTGTCTTCCTTTTTGTTCCTCTTTTCTTTCTTCTCCTTTTGTGTCTTCTCCTTTTTGTCCTTGGCATTTCCTTTGGCTTTGGCCTTTGGCATCGGTTTTTTCCCTTTGAAAGTCTTTGGTGGTGTCTTTGGCACCTTGGGTTTGCTTCCTGCCTTTGAGCTTTGGAAGCTGGTTTTTCAAGCGGTTGCTGCTCTTCCTCCTCTTGCTCCTCTTCCTTATTCTCATTCTCTTCATTTTCCTTCTTTTCGGGTTCCATGGCCACCTCAGAAGCCTGGCTGTAGCAAGGGCTCCCAGGTAAATACCTGGCAGTAGTTTTCACTGGGCTGTTGTGCACGGAGCGACAAAAAGTGTGTAATTGGATACCTGGTATTCACTATTTATACATATTAATTTGTTGGAGTGTTACTTGAAGGTTATTAGAGAGATATTTTTACATTGTGGATAACTTCTTGAAGTGGTATTTGAAAATGATTAGAGATATATTTCTACAGTGTTCATGTTGCCAGCAAAACCTTGGAAGTGATGGTGCTTGAGAGCAGCACACACTGTGTGTGCATCTAGTCTCTACTATTTGCTGCTAATGACAAACATTTTAGATTTCAACCATGTTAGCATTGCTGCTGTTGGCTTTGGGCCTGGAAAGAATGCAACAGAAAAATGCCATGCAAGCACCTACAGGACTTCTGTTTTTGGTGATGGTTTTGATGACAACGATCCTTTTGATTTGGAGAAACAAAAAATTTTTGCAAAAGTCCCAGCCAAAAAATGATTTTTTAAGGAACTTTTGCAACACAGTGCCAAGGTGCCTTAGCAGTTTGCTTAGAAGTTTCTAAGCAAAGTGCTAAGGGGCCTTAGCAGTTTGCTTAGAAGTTTCTAAGCAAACTGCTAAGCTGCCTTAGAAGTTTCTAAGCAAAGTGCTAAGGGGCCTTAGAAGTTTCGAAGCAAACTGCTAAGACCACCTTGGAAGTTTCTAAGCAAACTGCTAAGCTGCCTTAGGAGTTTCTAAGCAAACTGCAAAGCTGCCTTAGGAGTTTCTAAGCAAACTACCAAGCTGCCTTAGCAGTTTGCTTAGAAACTTCTAAGGCCCTTAGCAGTTTGCTTAGAAACTTCTAAGGCCTTTAGCAGTTTGCTTAGAAACTTCTAAGGCCCTTAGCAGTTTGCTTAGAAACTTCTAAGGCAGCTTAGCAGTTTGCTTAGAAACTTCTAAGGTGGCCTTAGCAGTTTGCTTAGAAACTTCCAAGGTGGTCTTAGCAGTTTGCTTCGAAACTTCTAAGGCCCCTTAGCACTTTGCTTAGAAACTTCTAAGGCAGCTTAGCAGTTTGCTTAGAAACTTCTAAGCAAACTGCTAAGGCCCCTTAGCACTTTGCTTAGAAACTTCTAAGCAAACTGCTAAGGCACCTTGGCACTGTGTTGCAAAAGTTCCTAAACAAATCATTTTTTGGCTGGGACTTTTGCAAAAATTTCTTGTTTCTCCAAATCAAAAGGATCGTTGTCATCAAAACCATCGCCAAAAACAGAAGTCCTGTAGGTGCTTGCATGGCATTTTTCTGTTGCATTCTTTCCAGGCCCAAAGCCAACAGCAGCAATGCTAACATGGTTGAAATCTAAAATGTTTGTCATTAGCAGCAAATAGTAGAGACTAGATGCACACACAGTGTGTGCTGCTCTCAAGCACCATCACTTCCAAGGTTTTGCTGGCAACATGAACACTGTAGAAATATATCTCTAATAATTTTCAAATACCACTTCAAGAAGTTATCCACAATGTAAAAATATCTTTCTAATAACCTTCAAGTAACACTCCAAGAAATTAACATTTTTAAATAGTGAATACCAGGTATCCAATTACACACTTTTTGTCGCTCCATGCACAACAGCCCAGTGAAAACTACTGCCAGGTATTTACCTGGGAGCCCTTGCTACAGCCAGGCTTCTGAGGTGGCCATGGAACCCGAAAAGAAGGAAAATGAAGAGAATGAGAATAAGGAAGAGGAGCAAGAGGAGGAAGAGCAGCAACCGCTTGAAAAACCAGCTTCCAAAGCAAAGGCAGGAAGCAAACCCAAGCCAAAGACACCACCAAAGACTTTCAAAGGGAAAAAACCGATGCCAAAGGCCAAAGCCAAAGGAAGTGCCAAGGACAAAAAGGAGAAGAAACAAAAGGAGAAGAAAGAAAAGAGGAACAAAAAGGAAGACACCCCTGCACCTTTCAAAAGGCCTGCTGCCAAAGGTGGTACCAGAGACCAAGTCTCCAAGCTCCAGTCTGGGGTGCCAGAAGCGAAAGAAGAGGTTGAGAAGGTTGAGGGAGAAGAAGAAAAAGAAGAAGAAGAAGTGAGAGAACAGGATGAATGTGTGGATCCTGATGGTCACAATGAAAAGCGTTCCAGAGGTGCTGGTGGAAGTTCAACAGGCTGCTCAAAGCAGGAAAAGTTCCAGCACAGATCAAGGAGATCTGGGAAAAATCTGAAACCACGGAAGAAAAAACCATGTCGGTGGACTGCTTGTTACAAGAAGAACTCCAAGACAGGCTGCTGGGAAATGCAGGCAGACAATCCCAGTTTCAGAAGCTGGCTGAAGAGACCTCTGACAAGAGCTTTGGCAAAGATGCCCAGACCAGTTTTCCACGTGCAATCATGCTCCATCACTACTTCCATGGCGATGCTGATGCCTTCAACCAGGCGCTGGCCAGTGGTGACATCACAGGGGTCAACCAAGGAGGAAAAGTGATGTACAGGTTTGATACCTACGAAGTGGAAGGGCCAAAGAATCAGACCAAAGAATCAACAAATGGGTGAAACCATGTTTACTTGCTGGTCTTGCTGAAACAAAGAAACTCAAACCAATACGTGCGTACTGTCACATTGGCTGCTGTTGACATAAGCATAAAAGCAAGCACACCCAGGTAGATGATATAAATAACCTTGGGGAAAAAGGCAAGTCCTATGAATAACCTTGAAAAACAGGGTAACTTGTATGAATAACCTTCAAAAACAAAGGTAACTTGTATGAATAACCTTGAAAATAGTTAAAGGTTATTTGATCAAATAACCTTTTCAAGGTTAAACATGATCTACCTAATAGGCAGAAAGTTGACTAATTTTTCAAAATAGCCTAAAAGCACCTTTTTAACCTAACCTCATCTTCTGGGAGGCTCATCCGCGATGTGAAGAGCACCCCAGGGCAGACTTTGGTGACCTTCGGCAAGTTCAAGGGATGGATGTATCAAGAAGTCCCGCTGGGGTATCTCCAATGGAGCATGCAGGAGGTGAAGGCAAACCCGAACTCCTCACCCGATCTGGTGAGGCTCGCCACATGGGCGCAGGGAGAAGTGGAACGGCGTCAGAAGACAGCGAGCAGCTCGACCGAGGTGGCCAAAGACCCGGAAGCCAATGCGGTGGTGCCTCCACCCAAGATGAAGGACCTCGGTCGCCATGGGGGGTACTCAGATGCTTCGTGGAGCAGGGTCAGCGGCTGCTCCTCACGTCGGGGGGTGGCTCGTCGGGGACCCGAGATCATCAGCGACAGCGATCTGGAGGACGAGGGGGAGGATCCGAACCTCACCATCAAGAAGTTGGAGGACAGGATCTCAGCGCTCAAGAAGCGCAATCCCAACTGAGCAGTGCAGCTGGTGGTGAAATCTCCGACACCAAGGGCATCCGGGAGGAGGAGATTGAAAGCAAGGATGCCACAGTGCTGAAACCGATGGGTGGTCTGGACTATGAGGTAAAGTATGTGTGTAGCGGTGACGACGCTCCGGATGAGCGCAAGGTCTCTGAGTATAAGGACACAGTCGGGCTTTGCACTGGTGACTATAAGGCCAAGTATGACACCAACACCAACGACTCTCCGGATGAGAACGAGGTGTTTGTGAATGAGGTGATGCTCGGGCTTAGCAGCAGCGAATCGTCTGGTGATGGGCCGCGTAGTGGGTCCCCGAAGGCGAGAGCCAGGGCTGGTATGAAACGGCGGAAGATGGCGAGAAGAAGTACCACGCAATTCATGAAAGATCAAGCAAAGGGGCTCTGCACGGTGCTTTTGGCATGCACAGTGGCAATGGGCGGCTGGGCACATGAGGTCATGGCAGATCCACTTTGGGAAGCTTGGGCAGTTCTACAACCTCGACACTATGAACGAGACAATGGAGGGACTGATTGCCTTAAGCTGTTTGCTGGACATGCCAGGATATCCAGCGCCTATGCCAAACGACACCGAGCAGTGCTCCAACCTAGAGACCTGAAGTATGACCACAACCTCAAACTACGGAGTCAGCAGGAGGAGGTGCTCAGTGAAATCCTGGAGCACAGACCCAAGTTGCTTTGGATGGCACCACCCTGCACATACTGGTGCAAGTTTTCGAGGTTGAACTATGAGAAGCAAGAACTACGGCGTCTTCGGAAGAGAGAAGGGGCCTTGGTGAACTTCACTGCACGGGTTTTTGAACTACAACACTCTTTGGGTGGCATTGCGGTGATTGAGAACCCCAAGGGGAGTGATCTCTGGCGACATCCGGCACTTCAGCGTTTTGTGGGGGTGTCGGCAACATTTGCTGAGGTAGATCTTTGTACGTTTGGCCTCCGAAGCTTGCAAGATGGGCGGCCACTGAGAAAACCGTTGGCTCTGCTCACCAACAACACCACGTTTGGGAACAACATCGCACAGAAATGTGAAGATGGCAGCCATGATCATCGACCAGTACAAGGGCGAGACACTGCATGGACTGCCGTTTACCCCACGGCATTTGCCAATGCTGTGGTAAGAGCGGCTGACCAAGCCTGGCGCTGCCCCAACAGGGTCTTTGTCCAGTTCCCTACAGATCTTGCGCGAGCTGAAGATGCCAACGACGAGCAACTCCAGGCCTTAGAGGAGGAGGACTGGGAGCCCGATAGTTTCGGGGCAGCGGCCATCTCTTTCAAAGGCAAGGTCAATCCCAAGATCGCTTCAGTTTTGAAGCGGATCCACCAGAACTTGGGGCACCCTCCCAACCGTGATCTCGTACGACACCTGAGGATTGGGGGTGCTCCCGACAATGTGATCCGAGCAGCAGAGCAAATGGTCTGCAGGACATGTGAGCGAAGTACGAGGCCAGCGTCTTCCAGGGTGGCGCATCCATGTGTAGCATTGGACTTCAATGAGGTCATAGCTGCGGACGTGATCTGGCTGGATACTTCCAACAGCCGCAATAGGCCGGCATTGAATGTGATCGACCTCGCCTCCACTTACCAGGTGGTGATTCCTGTGGCCAGCACCAAGTCAGAAGAGCTGGCCCGAGCTATGTTGGAGGGTTGGATCAATTGGGCGGGAGCCCCAAAACATTTGCTGGTCGATCTCGACTCCGGCTTTCGAGATCAATTTTTGCAGCTGATGGACAGCCGGTCCGTCATTGTGAGATGCGCCGCTGGGCAGGCACACTGGCAAAACGGTGTTTGTGAGAGACATGGTGCCACTTGGAAGAACATTTGGAAGAAGCTCGTCGAAGACCTGACGGTCACCGACGAGGAGTTCACAGAGGCAGTGGCATGCACCAGCGATGCGAAGAACCAGCTCAGAAACAAGTCAAGATACTCACCAAGGCAATGGGTCTTTGGTACACAAATGAAGATGGCAGGTGACTTGTTTGATAGTCACCTAGGACCTGAGGAGCTGGATAACATCACGGCCGATGAGAAGGTGAGTCGTTCTCACGCCATCCGCCTGGGGGCTCGCTCAGCCTTCTTTCGTTGTCAAACCAAAGATGCACTACAACGAGCTGCACAACACAAAGCACGGGTTGAAAAACAAGACTTTGCAGCTGGTGATTTGGTCTTCATACACCGAGAACTACGGCAACGAAAGGGCAAGAAGAGCGGCAGCACATGGATCGGTCCCGGAACCGTCATCGGGAAAGAAGGTCACAACTTTTGGGTGGCTCGTGGCGGACGATGCCTGCTTGCAGCACCAGAACACCTACGAACAGCTCATCATGAGGAGGTGTCAGAGATGCTGCGCATCAAGGCGTCGATAGCTGAGCTACGGAAGGTTGTGGAGAATGCGGATGATGACATCATTGACCAAGACTATGAGGAGGAGGATCAAAAGGAAGAGATGGAATGGGAACCTGGTGATGGAGAGATAGAACAAGAGCTCGCCATGGAGGAGGACCATCCAAATGATCCAGTAGCACAGGCACAGCGGCGTGAGAGAGAGATAGAAGCTCATGTGAGGCATCGGCAAGCCTTGGATGACCTGCCCATCAGCCTCAAGAAACCAAGAAAGGTCTTCATGATGAAACATGCGATCTCCGAGAAGGGCAAGGAGAAACAACTGGAGAAGGAGATCCCATGGCAATTGATTCCTCCTGATGAACGTCAATTGTATCGGGAGGCAGAGCAAAAACAATGGGACGAACACCTCCAGTTTGGAGCTGTCAAGCCCCTCAGCCTTGCAGAGAGCGAAGAAGTCTTCCAGCGTATCAAGCCCGACCGGGTGCTCAATTCAAGATTCATTTGCCGAGACAAGAATTATGCCAAACGGAAGGTGGATTCTAGCGTGCCTCCACGTGCCAAAGCACGACTTTGCATTGCTGGACAGAACGACCCCGATTTGGGGAAGGTCGACATGGCAACGGATGCACCGACTACATCCAAACACTCCATCATTTTGGCCTTGCAACTTGCTTTGAATCGGGGCTGGAAGGTCTCAGTTGGAGACATCAGGGCGGCATTCCTCAACGGCATCCCAGCACCGAGGGAGCTTTACTTTCGCCAACCAAAAAGGGGCATCCCTGGCTTGCAGCCCGGGCAGCTGATCGAGGTTCTCAAAGGTGTTTTTGGACTCAGCACTAGCCCTAAGCTTTGGTGGATGAAGCTCTCTGGTGATGTTCGCAAAATGAAGGTGGACCATGAGGGGGACACCTACCACGTTGTGCAGAATGTCATTGATCCCTGCGTTTTCCAATTTGTCAAAGAAGCAGACAAGTCAGTCTGCGGTTTGCTGCTCACCCATGTTGACGACCTCATGCTGATGGCACCCAATGGACTGGCGAAGCACATCCAGTCCGAGCTCAAGCGCCTCTTTCCAGCGGATGAGTGGGAGGAGGACACTTTTGAGTATGTGGGCTGTGAATACAAGTGTTCAGCAGAGGAGGTTGTCATCAGCCAGCACGGCTATGCAAAGAGCCGTGTTGAGAAAGTCACCATCGAGCAAGGAGTTAGTGAAGAACAAGAAGCATCAATTGAACAAATAGAAGAAAACAGAGCCGTCATTGGGTGTCTTTCCTGGCTAGCAAAACAGACACGGCCAGACATCCAGTTCCAGGTGTGCCAGGCTCAAAAGAAACAGCGAACTCCATCCATAGCAGATCTCAAGCAAACCAACAAGGCAGTCACCGACACGATCCAGTTCCAACATTGCGGGGTTACACTGCGCAAAATCCCGGAGGAGAGGTTGTGCTTCTTGGCGTACCACGACGCTGCGTGGGCAAACACGCAACCTGATGCGGGTGAAGAACAGGATTTCGACTGGATCGGTGATCATCAAGTTGCATCTCAATTGGGATCCTTAGTCTTGCTGGCTGATATAACATGCTTGGGAAACGAGGGTGGCAGATTTAGCTTGGTAGACTGGAAGAGCAAAGCGGCGCACCGTGTTTGCCGATCCACCTTTGCTGGAGAAACAATGGCGTGCAGCGAGGGATTGGAAGGGGCTTTGTTTTTGCGCGGGCTCTATATCTCATTTGCGACCGGAGCCCGAGTTCCTGATCATCAAGGAGGGCAATTCTTCCCTCTCCATCTTGTGACAGATTGTCGCAGCCTCTATGACCACATTCATCGTGAAGGAGTGCCACGTGCTCCGGCAGAAAAGCGTTTGGCCATCGACTTGGCCGGATTGAGACAAGCACTGATGATAGAAGCGGAACATCAGTGGCGCCAGGAGCATGGAGAAGAATTTAAACCAACCCCAGAAAGACCTCTTCGGCCACCGCTTCACTGGTTACCGACGCATGAGCAGTTGGCCGACATTCTAACCAAGAGACTCAAGCCAACTGAGTGGTGGGGTAGGATTAATTCGGGCTGGTTGAGCCTGCCTCTGAAAACCATGCCAAGGCAGGACAAAAACCAGCAGGATTTTAGACCAGTGTAAATGCACTCCATTTTCAGCATGCACAGTTTGGCTGAACGCATAGTCACGATGGATCCGTGGCCACTGTAGGCACAAGAGTCCACTTCAGGTTAAAACGGTGTGTGCATTGCCATGTGATGTTTGCATTGCCTGCATAGAGCATCTACAGATGGTTAGTAGTGGGGTAAACCCAATAATGATATCATAATACCATTCTTTGATGAATAATTTATCAGGGACGGGTTATGATTGGCTTTACCACATCAGGATGCATTGGCGGAACATTTCGATGGCAAGAATTTCTGATGCACTGGCGGACCGCGGACCTCGATGGCCCGTGAGTCTCGAAATCTCGGACACAAACATGGACTGATTTTTCGCCCATGTGGACCCAAGTATTCTATAGATGGGTATATATATATACAATATATATATATACAATATATATATATACAATATATATATATACAATATATATATATATGGGTCTATAAATGATGGTATTCTATAGATGGGTCTATAAATGATGGATCCAGTTTCTCTGGGCGTGTACCTGCTAGGCTGCCACTGCAGCCCCGCGTATGAGCGCTCCAAGTGCTGCCTTAGCTGTGGCGAAAGCCGCGCGGGCAGAATTGGAGAAAGGGAAGCAGGCAAGAGTGGGAGGAGTCCCTGAAAGTTGTATGGTGACGCTGGAGATTCTTAGGCGCACCAGCTATCCCGGCTATCCCTTTACACATTTTCGCAGTTTATCTATATAGGTTACAGTAGTGAATTTGTCTTCTTTTTGCGGTTGGTTGGACAAACAATTACTGCCAACTCTTGTTCACAATGCACAGGAACTAGTGGTTGCCTATAGATTTGGATTGTCATCTAAATTGTAGGCTACTCTAAGGGTTGCTTAAGTTCCGACATCACATTTCGAAACATTCAAAAAACATACAACATCCCAGTGCGGCTACGGCCCCGAGAGCCTGGTTCTGTATGTTATGCAGTTTTTCGGGGGCCACATTCAAAATTAGGGAGGTCGAATTACATCCTTTACAAAACACCGTCAAATCATATCCCGATTATCCCGATCATATCCACAGGTTGTCGGTTTTATCCTGGCAGTGGGTTGGAATTTTCTTCTGGATGTCTCATTGTTGCTCCTTGGTGATGAAAAACATGATGATCTTGGCTCTCAGCAGCTCAATAGGAAGATGATGTAAAGATCAAAGATATTAGTCAACATTAAGTCAGCAGAGAAAGGAATCTGGGTATTTCTTGAAATGGGGCTACCCCAAGATCATCCCGTCTTTTTTTTGAGGGACATTATTAAAGCATCCAATTCTTGGTTACCACCATTTTGATAAACTAAACCTGCATTTGACACTGATGGCTAGCGAATAATATCTATTCAGCCTCAGCTTGCCATGAAGCGCAAAGCTTCGGGCCCTGAGGAGGCTGACAGTCTCAAGCTTGAGGTGTCCCTGCCAAGTGGACGGTATGAATCTGTCGTGGTCTCGCAGTTTGCCCGCCTTTCCGACTTGAAAATCGCCGCACAACAGTCCTTGGGGCAACGTTTTCTGAGGCTTGCTGCACCTGATGGGCGCCTTCTCGACCAAACAGGTTCTCTGGAACTTTCTGGGCTTCAAAATGGAGACAGCCTTACAGCTGTTGCCCAGCAGCCAAAGGTAGCTGCGACATGGCGTGCATTTGCTTTGTGGTGTGTTGGAAGTCGCGCAGTCACCTGGGGCAATTTGAAGTGTGGTGGTGACAGCTCCGGGGTCCAACATCAGCTCAGAAATGTCCAGGAGATTTGTTGCACAGCCGCATCTTTTGCTGCGATTCTGGCAGAAGGAACCGTGGTGACGTGGGGAGATCCAGACTATGGCGGTGACAGCTCCAGAGTCCAACATCAGCTCAGAAATGTCAAGCAGGTTTGTGGCACAGCTTCGTCTTTTGCTGCGGTTTTGGCAAATGGAACCGTGGTGACGTGGGGCGATGCCTACCTTGACTATGGCGCTGATAGTTCCAGAGTCCAACATGAGCTTAGGAATGTCCAGCAGGTTTGCGGCACATGCAAAGCTTTTGCCGCGATTTTGGCGAATGGAAACGTGGTGACGTGGGGCCATCTGAACTCTGGTGGTGACAGCTCCAAAGTCCAACATCAGCTCAGAAATGTCCAGCAGATTTGTGGCGCAGCCAATGCATTTGCTGCGATTTTGGCAAATGGAAACGTGGTGACGTGGGGCCATCGACTGTTGGGTGGTGACAGCTCCAGAGTTCAACATCGACTGAGAAATGTCCATCAGATTTGTAGCGCAGGCAATGCATTTGCTGCTATTTTGGCAAACGGAAACGTGGTGACGTGGGGCAATTTGAAGTGTGGTGGTGACAGCTCCAGGGTCCAACATCAGCTCAGAAATGTCCAGGAGATTCGTTGCACAGCCGCATCTTTTGCTGCGATTCTGGCAGAAGGAACCGTGGTGACGTGGGGAGATCCAGACTATGGCGGTGACAGCTCCAGAGTCCAACATCAGCTCAGAAATGTCAAGCAGGTTTGTGGCACGCGCAAAGCTTTTGCTGCGATTCTGGCAGAAGGAGCTGTGGTGACGTGGGGCGATCCAGACTATGGTGGTGACAGCTCCATAGTCCAACATCAGCTCAGAAATGTCCAGCAGATTTTTGCCACACGCAAAGCTTTTGCTGCGATTTTGGCAAATGGAACCGTGGTGACATGGGGCCATCCAGACCGTGGCGGTAACCATTCCAGTGTAGAAAAATTGTTCAGCCACATTTAGGCGCTTGTCAGGGCAACAAAAAGCCCGGGCAGTGGTGGTGGATGTCATTTCAAGTGACAAGGGGCTGCCGCCGCAAGATCTGAACCAACCCGCCAGAAGTGAAATATCCAGTGGGGCCCTAACACCTGGTGGTGGCCTTCCTTCCACGTTTGCTCTGTTGGGTTTACAGGTTTCCCCTTTCATAGGGACTTCCCTCCCAAGGGTGAGCCACTTAATTAAGGGCTTCGACTTTTAAGGACCAGCCTGATCAGAGGGGTACCCTAGACATTAGAAGGTGTTTGCATGTGCTGTGTATATACATTGTTATCGAATGTATGTGTGCAGATATTTTACATATACATGCATGAATATGTGAAGTACCATGAAGCACCTACAGAGATAGCTAGTGGGCGGTTTCCAAGATTTGTGTATTTCTCCTCCTACCATGATCCAAATTGACTAAAATTCTCTTGTGATTTGCTTAAAGCCCCAACATAGCACTGCTGAAGTGCATGGGATGACCGGGGGTCCCCACCAGGCAGCTGTCCCTTCAGCCAAGGGAGTGGAGGCAAGGTGGAACTGGAACCAATTTTGAATGGGAAAATCATCCATGCACATGTCTCTTCAATCATTTTCCCATATTTTTCCGCTAATTCATGCGCTTAAGTTTTAATCATTCACTCGTTTTTAACTTTAGAGCTCACTCAAAACCCATCCATATACAGCACATCCAATTGCAGAGCACACAGAACATCACACCACGAGTATACAACAAAGAGAAAATGACTACAGCCAGCAAGCAATGTAAAGTTTTAGTACTGTAACTATAGGTATAGTATGTTATAGTCATAGTATAAACTGAGGCCACTATAGTCATATTTTGAATATGATAAACCAAGCTATAGTACAACTATGGTTGCACACCAGCAACACCCCCTTGGCAGAGTGCAGCAATAGGCAGCAATCAAAGCGTAGACGCACAGAATTGTTTCAGATCTTGAGAATGACCACTTTTCTGGTTGGTCCAGGATTATCGTACAGTGTGACATCCTTCTGACTTCGCACTGGTGAAGGTTAGTTGTAGTTCGAAAGTTCAGAGCACACTTAAACACATCGTACTTGTTGATGTAACACGCTCATATCCCAGAATTGTGTTTTTTTTTTTTGTCGGAAACATTGGATTTGATGGTACACCATGGTCCACCATTGAGGCCAACAAGACGCCGCCAGTCATACAGGCAGTGGAGAGTGCCCAGCAGTGCTCACAACTGTTGATTGATTATAAATTATATCATATCATGATATATCATATCATTATAATTTATTATATGGGGTTGTACCAATTAGTGTCCAATGTTGGGGTTGATCACAATCCAGTATGGAAAAAGGGTGCAGAATTTTCGGTTGATATATTGATTTGTTCAGCCAGAAGAGGCTAAGGTTCAGCCCAGGCAATAGACCGGAAGCATCCGTATGCTTTTTGCAGGGGGTCGCTAATTAGGCATTGGAGATCATTGGAGCACATAGTAAACCTACAAGCAACGGTGAGAATAGTATGGAATGAGGATGGATGAAGTTTTCAAATGGTCAACCGATAGTCAACCAATAGGTTTTTGGGTTACAGAGATTCGTGAAACGCGAGTCTTCTCAGTCGGGAGCTGGATCTACCATTCTGTTCTTGTTGCGATCCAATTGATTTACCACATTTCTTCCAAGTCTGGCTTGACATCTCCCTTGAACATCCTGAAGTTCCTACCCGCAGAAACTTTCTTTTTGGGATCGCACAGGTAACTTCTTGAGTCAATGGACCCTGGAACTTGGGATCCTGTCAGGGGGTTAAAGTCTTCCTCAAAGTGGCAAGGCAAAAGCAGCACCAAGATTTGCAGAGCTCTAAGGAGGGTATTTTTGATCCCAGATTTTGTTTCGCGCAAAAGGTTGCAGGATTCTGCTGTATTTGGAGAACTCTCATCTCCTGGTCTTCCTGTACAAAAGCAATTGATTTTTGAGTTTACGTCTCCAAACCTAAATGGCGCTTTCCCAAAATGGAGGTCCCCCAAAATCATCCACTGAAAAATAGGATTTTTGTGGATTTTCCATTATAAACCATCCATTGTTGGGATATCCCCATTTATGGAAACCCAATATTATCATACATTATATATATTATATAACTTATAACTGTACTATTTTCATTTTCCATCCATTGTTGGGTACCTCATTTTAAACCAATGATTTAGAAAATCCTGAGAAAACCATAGAAGACCACGATTTCCATAAAAAAACCCTCTGGTAATTTCTTACATAGCTATTTTTCAGCCATAGAAATCGTGGTTTACCCATTGTTTCAATGACGCCACAGGTTGGAGATGAGGCCCGGCCCCATGACCTGGAGAAAAACGGGTGAAAAACTGGAACTGCGAAGACGAAACTCTGGATTTCAAGGATTTCAAGGATTTATTCATAGAATTGGATGATGGGAAAATTTACAGGAAAGCCCTATATTTGATGGTAAAAACCATGGTTTCCTGTAGATTTTCCCTTAAACCAATCCAGTGATTTATGATTTATATATTTTTTTGAAATGTATTTTAAAAATTTTTTAAATGATTTATGTTTTTTTTTCTGTGTAAAAACAAATACATTTCATTTGTTGGACCACAACACTGGATTGAACGGATACCTCACACATAAGACATTGTCAAACTAATATGTGACTTACCCTCTAGCAACCAAACGTGGCAATGGGCAATTCCCTATACATATATTATATATATACATATATATATATATATACACACATATATATATATATAGACATATATATATATAAATGGAGGTTTTAGGGGAAACTAAATGGTCGATTTTTCAGCAAGCCACGTTCACGGGAGGGTAACCAATATAGACTACTTTTAAGAATGATTAACTATTATTGAGTATTACAGTATTACGTATTATTAAGTATTATTAACTATTGGTTCCTATTATGAGCAGTCCTTTAATAGCAACTATCATTAAGTATCATTAGCTGCTATTAACTATTTGTAAGTATTATTGACTATCATCAGGTATTAATTACTAAACATTAGTTTACATTATTAACTAGTTTATCAACTATTCTTAGCTATTTGTTACCCTCAATTTGAATTAAGTATTAATAATTATTACTATCATCAAGTAATAAATATTTATCTTACTATCCCTAATTAACTATTACTATCCCATTCATCATTGGTTTCCATTGGTTTCCGCGCAAGACGTTGCTGGCCCGAAACCCGAGTCACAGGATCGACCGGTGAAACGCTTGCGGATTGCCAGCGAAGAAGGTTGGAACAATGACCGGGGATGGTTGGAATAAAAGCCAATGGAAAGCAATGGTTATCCTCTGGTAAACATACAAAAAGCTATTGAACATGGCCATAGAAATAGTGAGTTTTCCCATTAAAAATGGTGATTTTCCATAGTTATGTAAACGTTTACCAGAGGGCAATGGTGGTTAATCACAGTTCATAGTAGTTAATAATAATTAATGCCATAACTAATGGTGATGACTTGGGGATGGTGCAATTGGACATTAGGTTTAGAAGAAATTAATAGAGATGGGAGTACACTCAAACTGCTTGATGGTTTGAACTACGTATGCCCAACAGCTGGGAGATTCAAACCTCCTTTGGTAAGTGTGCTGGAGGGTCCTCTACTTGTGATGAAAGGATATCAAATGACGCCCCAGAACCGCCACTAGGTTCAACTCCAGTTAGGTAGTGATGACTATAACCCCATGAAGAATATCCATTGTCTAGCTCTGCCCATCCCTTCCATTGCCTTTACACCACCAGACCATTTGTGAGACACGGAGACACGTGCAGGGCAGCCGGTGAGACGAAGCAAACGACTGGCGAATCGATGAGAGGGAGGGCTGCTGTGCCTGCGTGGCCCAGAGCCTCCTGATTTTCCTTGAGAGTTTTAGAAGAGACTGGTGGTTTCCTGCCGGGTTTTCTGAATCCGATTCAGTCTGACTGGTGGTTTTCATGGTCCGAATAACCTTTGAGATCATGAATTTCTCATGGTCAGCCCTTCATGACATTTTTGGTGATGGAAACCCAATGATTGTTTTCTATGGTGGAGCTCTGGCTCGAGCTTTGGCAAAACCCAAAGGTGGTTACCATGCAATTTGTACAGTAGACTGGTTGGAATCAATGGGGAATGAATAGGACATAACAGTTCTTGACTGCCCAAACAACATATTATTTAAGATTTCTTCAGTTTCCATTCCTTTGAGACGAAGACTCCAAATGACCAGCATGTTCCGCACTGGGTTTGTCCCAAAATATGTTTTGTTTTCTTGCGAAAACAATGATAACACATGGAGTTTCCGGGGAGGCATGGGCTTGTCTGAAAATATCTCCGAAATTTCGGTGAATTACCATCATCTTCACAGATGTCAAGAGATTCATATGTCCTGTATCTTTTTCATTCTGGTTGGTTTAGTCCCTATTGCCTCTCAAATTACTGTACTGTAGTAATATTATATATATATACACAGTTGTTAGAATTATACATTATTGTATATATAATCTTACATCACAAGCTTTTGCTTATCCTGAAGGGGATAGGATTAATGACATAACCACAACATGCCATGGACATGGACGATGCAAAAGAAAGCTGCCAACCAGGAGGGTTCGTCAAAAATTGGACGGCTCATGCAGGATGGACGTGGCATGACCGACCGCGGGGGACTGGGTAGAAAGAGACGGTGCCGTGACATGCGCAGCGGGGAGCATTGATAACAACCAAGACAACGGGTGCCAATATATTTGTTTTGTCTCACATTTGACGGGATATACCCTCATTTTACGGCGATGTTGATTTTTTAAAAGGGGATCATCATGATGACACATGGGAGTTTGGGGCTTCAGATTTTGAGAACCCAATGTCTTAGAACAAATGTCATACACTAAAGATCCTTGGTTCCACACTCCATAGGCAGGTGGAATGCATTGGAATTTGACAATCAAATGGGCCTGATGTGTGCACTGGTTGTCCCTCACATTCAGAGCAAAGTGAGAACCGCATGCATATGGTCAAGCCTCTCAAAATTAGGCCCATGGCGTCAAATCCATCTTGGTTTGGGATACCCTAATGTAAATTAATATGATCTGATATGGAGAATCCATGGTATCCCAACAGGAAGATGATCTACTGTACATTTCTGGTTGGTTTTTTCATATAAATTTGTTTGCAGCCGCACCCCTGTGCTTTCCGCAGTTCTCAAGAGCACTCAACCACTAGCGCTTGGCTTGGCGACGTTCAGTCGCCCCGATGTGGCAAACATGTCAGCCTTTTTCAAGTATTTATCATTTTGCTCATATATATATATATAATTATTATACATCTATTTATACTGCTGTAGTAGGTGATACATGGACTTCGAGCTTTACTTATCTATGTTCGACTATTTTCCTAGCCCTATGATGTGGAGAAGATAGCAGCATCATGAGACCTGGATTTGAGTTTTGGATTCACTATCAGCCGCGTGGGGTTCATATCCGTCCCGGAATTGGTTGAACCCTTCGTTTGTCTGGGAAAAAGACTCTGGTTTTCTGTACTTTTGTTCCCATAAATGAAACAAAGACATCTAGGATCATCTAGGTCCGCATGTATTAATCATGTATAGAAACCCCGAGAAAGATAGAAAAGTACATTTCCACTAAATTTTAGTAGGATTTCACTGTTCTATTTTTTCCGGGGGTACTTTTTATTTGTACTTTTCGATATCCAGCCATCAATCAAGATTCTACCTGTCCTTCCTCCCGTGCTCTGAACATATTTCTTCTGCGCAGCGCCGTGTGCCCATGCGAAGCTTCCGACTGGCCCGTCTGGCCGAGGGCTTTCAACGTGCCATGGCTAGGTGGCCAATGGGAACCACCATGGCCAACACCACGGTCCTTTGGGTCGTGCCTCCTGGCCAAAGTTGGGTCACCATGTTTGGGTCTCAGGCCAACATCTAAGTGGTTTATCAATGTTTATCATAGACTGAAAAAACAAATCAATAATTATCAATAATTTAATCATCATTTCACACATTCTCATCATTTCCCTGAAAAAAAATGATTCTTGAAATGGGGGGTTCTACCTGTATGCCCCATTTCTGGGCGATGAAATCAATGGAGGGCACTAATGTCTTGAGCCAATACCATTCTTTTTCCAATGGGCGGCCTACTGAATCTGGAAGGCATCCGTACGTCCAACGGATGTTTTTTTTTTCGTTGTTTCATCACTTGGATTATTGTTTTGTTGGGATGGTGGCTCAACCACCACCAAAATTCTGATGTTATTTCTAAAATGTGCATATTTTTTTCATCTTGTCATGTCATACAATTCGACATCAGCCAGATAGACATTGTACATGTTGTTTTGTGCCTGCGCAACGGATCTAAGATCTGACTCTCTTTCTCAATCCATTGCGCCAGAGCAGATGGACCTGGGTCACGATTGGGCGAGGACAGGGCGGATGGTGAGCTATGGCGTTTTCTTCTATGCTGGGCTTGCCTTGAAATGGTATGATGCTGGGCTGGTCAAGTATAGAAACCCCAAAAAGATGGACGAGTAACGTCCTACTAACATAATTAACATAGTGGTGAATTGCTTTTCGAGGATTTTTCGAGGTTTTTGGGGATTACTTTTCCACAATGTGACAAGGGTTCATCATTTTGCCTATAAGAATTGCCATTTTAGGTGGGTTTACGCCATTTTCAGACACGCCCAGGCAACATACTGTATCTACATGTATCATCAACTATCAGGTCTACCACAAAATTCCACTGTGGCTGGTTGGTGGTTTCAAACGCATCCTGGGATGGCGACCTGAAGTGACTCATAATTTCAGGTGGCTAAAAAAAACCACCAGATGACGCATGTGGCCCATTTGGTCCCTAAAACATGCTTGCGACTTTGCCTTTTAAGGCTTTACTTGGTGAGGTTGTCAAGGGTGAGTTTCGGCTGGTTTTGAGATGTACTCCGACAGCACGATTTTGATCTTGGGTTGGCTTTTTGGTTTTGGCAGGTTGGAAAGGGGAACAGTGGGGCAAAGCAACCTGAGGATTTGTTGGAGAGGAAATTTCCGATGACGTCGATCCGCATGGTTTCTTGCAAGGTGGCCGCAGACCAACTGATTTTCACTCCCATCACAGCATCGTCCCTGTTCTTCTTGACAACGCTTCTGGAAGGGAAAAGCGTCCAAACTGCCCGCGAAAAGGTGGAGGAACGCTTGCTGCCAACCCTAAAGATGAACTGGTGCATCTGGCCATTTATTCAAGCAGTAAACCTTAGTGTAGTGCCACCACCCTGGCGCATTCTGGTCATCAATGCTGCATGCATCCCATGGCTGGCCTTCGTTTCATGGATGGCCAATAAACGCACAGAACATGGTACCGCAGCGACCGGTTCCATCACCTGGCCTGAGCCGAGCTGGACAAAGCTGTCTACTGGCAGAATCCAAGAGGCAGTTGTATAGATGTGCAGATCAAAGGATTCCTAGGTAATGGCCTTGACCACAAAAAGATGTAGGTGATTTTTAAAATCCAAGTCCTGTAATTGTCCTTGCATGAAGAACCTGGTGTTTGTTCTTCATGCCATCGAATTTTTGTGCCTGTACAGCAAGCATGCATTTGCTGGAAATGGCTGAAAGCTGTCAATTTGACAACGAGATATGCAGCGATGGCTGTTCAGCTACTAGTCAGAATGCCCAGAACTCCAAACAAACTGAGATTCTGAAACCAGGGTCAGAGTCAGCAACCCGCTTCCCAAGGTAGGATGGATCATTGGGCCATTGGTTGGACAAGTCTGGGCACGAAATTCAGATAGACCAAAGACTTGCGGCTCTGATGGATAGGAAACGAGCGGCTGCAGCTTCTGCCCATTTTTTTCATCGCGACGGTTTTTCGATTCCAAAATATTCCAAACACCAAACTCAAACCTCCAGTGATCTCCAGTGCGTCATGGGTTGATAAGATTAGGTCTCTTGGATCGGATGTAAAATAGTTAGTACTTGTATTTGTTGAGAAATGATGTTGCGTCATAGCATGAGACAAACCATAAACTTCAAGCCACTGGCTGGCAATCAGAGGGTTTAACCATGTTTAACATATTTTTCTCAGCCAACAGGTAGGTGATAGAAAATGGATGTAAATGGAATCATCCCGCATATTTATTGGATTTCATTGCTTCATATATCTTCATATCACCTCCAGGATCTCTGTTTTTGTGGTTGATATCTCGATGGGATCATCCCCCAGTAGACATTGGGAAGGTGTCAGCTGGAGGCGAAGCGACGAGTCAGTTATTTTTTCAACGGCAAAAAAGGGCACCTCCCATTAGGGATGGTTGAGACCGAATTGGGGATGCCAAAACTCATTGGGTGTACCGTCATTATCTCATGATGTAAAAGCACGGGACAATTTCAACCCCGGATTGATAAACCGGGTGGGTTACCCCCCAAATAGTGAAAAATCACTATCAAGATTGATACCCATTAAGAAACTGAATGTTGACCAATCCTGGGTCGACATTATCCCCACAAATTTATACAAATTTCCCATTGCCTCTACCCAAGGTTTCCTTAGGAACATGATCTACAAATGGACAAATGGTAGGTTTTCCACATCTATGTTAGTACCTAGTCTATAGATAGATTATAGATGTTTACAGTAACCCCCGAAAAGATGCCGAAACGTGTTTCCAGGATGGTATAGAATAGAATGTTTCCTCATATTTCCAGGCTTTCCAACTTTCCAACTTTGCTATCTATGACTTGGGGTTGCCAGGAGGCGGCTATTTCAATAGGAGGGTGACCACCCACATTCTTTGAGGCGGAAGCGCCTTCCCATCCCGCTAGCCCAGCGGCGC